GGCCTGGATTTACAAGACTTAAGCAGAGCAGTGGAAGAAAGGGGTCTTGAAGATGTCTCATCCACAGGGTCACAATGAGTTGAGATCAGATCAGGGGTAGTTAACAACAACAACATATTCACTACAGGAACAGATTGAGCTGTAGACTTTGTGATTTCTCAACAAACATCCTCCTATATTTCACATATAATTGAATGGCTGACATTTAATTCTTGAGGTGGGGTTGCCATATTCCAGCCACTCAAATCTGGGCATATAATTTGCATATTATGCAAATTATTATAATTATGCATATTATTAATTGTCATTCTGTGAATTCAACATATTAGTCATTGCACTTTTTCTACCATTATTTTTCAACCTCAGTACCAGTACCAAGCTAATTACTCTTTTTTTCCCTTATCCCATCCTTCCCAGCTGGTGTGAAGAAAGGGAGACTTCCAAGCAGCCCCAGAGAGTAAAGGGATTCCCTTTACTTTCTCAGGGCTGTTTGGGAAGTCAAGTTCCACTGTGTGCCTAACCCTAGGCTCAAGCTACTGACAGAATCACCACACAACACAAGGCCGTCTCTGTTTGCTTTTCCCATCTTTTGGGCCTGTCGGGCAAAGTGGGTAGGGAATGGAAGAATAAGGTGGCAATGCTACACCAATACCAGACTGTTTCCTCTTTGAAATTGAAAGTGGCAAACTCAGACTTGCACCCTGAATCAAGTTTCCTGTGTAGGATAGTGAAAATAATTTGTAGTCTTTTTGTTTAAGACAATTGACATAATTTTATAGGAATTATGAGGGCTGGTGAGAATGAAAACCTGCATTTTTTTAAGCCTCAACTTGGTTTGGAAACTGATCAGAATGCTTTCGGATTATTTGATAAGAACCTGGATGATTTCTGATGCGAGCAGAGGACTGATTCTTAGGATCTATGACAAACTAATACAATCAACACTCGACACATTTGTCAAAATACAGACATTTAGAGCCTCTGAAGGCCTGTTTTATGTTTGATGCTAGTCTAGAAAATGTATTTGAAAGTGTATATTGCTTCATCATAAAATATTGTGTAAGATCATCCAAGCATAATCTGTCTGCTACTGTGGCAATGGGTTTTGACATGGAAATTATAGACTTGAAACAATTTTTTTTAATGATGAAGTGACTCATCCGGAGAGAAGAATGGAAATAGTTTCTGATGAGTTTTGAGTCAAATGATCTGTTGCTCTTACAATGCAGCTTTGTTGTTTTGTTTGGAGCTGTTACCACAGCATAGCATCCTGGAAACACCTTTTTGGCTTAAACAAGCCAAAGAGGAGATTCTTTTAGGAAGGAAGCTGTGTGAAGTCCCAGGCATTTGTGAGAATACTAATGGGTGTAGAAGGGTGGATTGAGGTTATAGTCCTTACAACTGTAGATGCATTAAGGGCTGTATGCATCTACAGCATTAGTATGATTACAGAATAAGAAAGGAAACACAACAGCTCAAGATGCTGTGTGGACACTTTCCAAGTTTTCCGCAGTTGTGTTGTGAAGACACTTGCATATCCAACCCAATAGAATTTGTCATTTATCTTATTCAAAATAGTTTGCAAATCAAGAAATATGCAAAACAGTTGCAATCTTGCAATTTATAGTGAATTCTTTATATTAATCTTGATGGGGTGAAAGCACTGTTCATATAAATACCATAATTTCAAGCTGTATGGCTTGGTTTGAGAAATTATTCCAAGGTTCATAAAACATGATTTTAAAACAGAGAATTTGTGACATGGAGATCCTGTTTTTTCCCCCCAGCAGAGAAGAACATTAAATAAGAAAATCTGGTACATCTACACAGTAGAAATAATGCAGTTTGACACCAGTTTAACTGCCATGGCTCTATCCTACAGAATCATGAGATTTGTAGTTTTGTGAGGCACCAGCACTCTGGTACAGAAGGCTAAAGAACTTATAAAACTACAGAGCCCAGGTTCCATAGGATGGAGCTACAGTACTTAATGTGCTGTCAAATTGCATTATTTCTACAGTGTAGATGTTATGCTTACACTAAAAGCTAAAAAATACTGAAAAGGGGATGTTAGTTGGCCCTCTGCATTAATGGATTCTTTATCCATGACTTGAAAATATTTTTTAAAAATTCCAAAAAGAAACTTTAATTTTCCCATTTTATATAAGGGACATAATTTTATTAAACCATAGTATTTAATGGAGCTTAAGCATCCACAGATTTTGTTATCCATGGGGGTCCTGGAATTAAACTCCAGTGAATAACAAGAGACCACTGTATTTGCATTGAAAAGGGAGCATATTTATTGCACAACAATATTTTTGCATTTAAATGTACTATGTGTTGCACTCAAAATGAATGTGAAACAATCCTGTGTGTTCAGGTCTCCCTTGTCCCTGTTTTGTGTTTGGGAGAAAATGAAACAACTACATAAATTTTGAAATCTCCATATCTCATCCACTCACTAGAAGGGAATGAATGAGGTCAATAAGAAATACTCTTGCACAGAAAGGCTGAAGGAAACACACAAATATTTACAGTTTTATTCAAAATCATTTTTCACAAGGGCCAGACTCATTGCACCCCCAACAACATTAACCAAGAAGCAGAGTTCCCAGAAATATTTTTCAGAAACTGAATTTCCAACAATTGACTCTTTTTCTGAAAGCTAAATTTTTGATCCAATCAAAATCGAGATCTATATCAAAGTTTTCAAACATGTTATCAGTTGATCTCTATCAGTCATGACATTGCCACTAGTACTGAAGCAATGCTTAATTTCAACACTGAATGGCATGCCTCTGTTCTGTTTGAAAAAGACATGGAGGATCTGAGGAAGTTCGCATGTGGAGGACTCTTCCATGCTGCAAGTATTCAGATATCCGGAGACCTTAACTTTCGGCTTTCCCTCCAAGACTCAACGTAACTGGAGCAGCTTTGGAAAAGGTTCTCTGCCACTGATAGCTATTTTCTTTCTGAAGAACCTTCTCTGCAGCTGTCCTCTGTGTTGCAAATAGTTTTAATTTAGCCTTGATCAAGCCTTTTAACATGTACCTAGGAGAGAAAGAGGAGAGATATATGTTAAGGAAAAGAGGAGAAAAAGTATTGCTTACTGGCCTGCTAGAGCCTGGAGATATTGTGCCCTTTTGGGAGTGATGACAGTTTTAAGTGTGAAGAATTTCAGAGAAAGGGTTAACTAATAATAGGAATATTATTTATTTGTTAATTGCATTTATATCTTATCTTTCTTCTTTTGAGATGAAGGCAGCATAGCTTCCTTCCTTCCACCTTTACCCTTACAAGATATGTCGGACTAAGAGGAAGTGACTAATAAAGGATTATCCAGTAAACTTCACAGTTCCAGGTAGGCTAGAACCTTAATCTCTCAAGTCCCAGTTATTTATCCTAGCCTGCATACCTCACTGTGATTCTGAGAAAATGTACGCTTCTTGAACAAAATAGGAATGT